ACAGGAAATCCAGAAATTTGCAATTGATGACATTTTCATTCAGTTTTGACCTTTCAATTTACACACTCAAATTATTCTCGAATGTGCATGATATCACGTCACTTTTTAGTGATAATCACATGACGTGACATTATTCTTGCGAATGCTATAAGTAAACACTAATACAGTACCAAATTCAAATTGTATGTCTGTATGAAATGGCTTTGAAGGTGAATTGGAAACATGGAGGAAAGAAAAGAGAAAAAAAAATTGTTTCCATGATCTCATAACTAATTTCAACAGAACCAGTCGACAAGTTTCTATTTTTGGCTATTTTCGCAAGTGAGTAAAATGAGCAAGAACGTTCAATGGCTAATAACCCCAATGACAAAACCAACACACGAAATTTTGACTCAGTATATTTTAGCCGCTTTTCGCCGATTTGGCTTTTCGCTGATTTTTGTATCAAGTAAACTTGATAAATTTGAAATTCGCTGATTTTCAATTTTCGCTGATTTTTGAATTTTCGCTGATTTTAAATTTTTTGCTGATTTTAAGAGAAAAGTTTAAAATGTGATCATAAAAATCACCGGAAACCCGGAAGCAAAGAACCATCTTTTCGAAATCACCCACTTAATGAAAATCACGTGGGCGTGTAGTACGGCCGAGACCTTTATCGACACAGTTCAAAAGTTGTACCTAATTTATGTTAGAATTATGTCAGTAACAAAAACACTTAGTTTGAATTTTGTCACCATCGAGAACATTATGAACCAGTATAGTTGATTTTGGTCCAAATCTCGGCCATACTTAACACATGTTTGAACAACATTTTCTCGTAAATATTAAATTCCTAGTCTATTCGGGCACGCCCGTTATCAGTGTTTAAATTTGATTAATATTTTGTAAATAATGTTATCACTCTAATAACCGTAATGGTTTTAAGGTCAATCCTACCACAAAACTTCACATGACTTCACAAACCCCTCAAAATCGGACCCACCTTACTCCTCACTTGACACCGAACCCCACCTGACACTCAACCGCCACCTGACACCCACCTTGTCAACACTCCTCAAATTATTGATTTCCCACGACTTCACAAATGTCTTCACATGACTTCCGTTCCAGAGTCAGTGAATCAGTGAGTTGGGCTTTTATATATTAGATTACTAAAAAGAAAGTAATTCTGAATTATGTCACTATTATGTCAAGTGTTTCAGGATAAAGAAATATTATTTTTTCGTTTGCACAGTAAAGAGTATGAGCAAATTGAAAAAATGTAATGATATGTATTATATGCCAGATTTACGTCAGTTCAATTTTCAATTTTGGACTAGGGGCGACCCTAGTCCCAAAATTCAAACTAAGTGTTTTTGTTACTGACATAATTCTAACATAAATTAGGTACAACTTTTGAACTGTGTCGATAAAGGTCTCGGCCGTACTACACGCCCACGTGATTTTCATTTAGCAGGTGATTTCGCGAAGATGGTTCTTTGCTTCCGGGTTTCCGGTGATTTTTATGATCACATTTTAAACTTTACTCTTAAAATCAGCAAAAAATTTAAAATCAGCGAAAATTCAAAAATCAGCGAAAATTTAAAAAAAATCAGCGAAATTTAAATCAGCGAAAATTAAAAATCAGCGAATTTCAAATTTATCAAGTTTACTTGATACAAAAATCAGCGAAAAGCCAAATCGGCGAAAAGCGGCTAACTTCCACGGAGTAAATTTTGCTTCTTTTTATTCCTCACATTTTTTTTTTCTTTCTTTAAAATATTCCGACTTCAGACACACGATTCTTTTATCAGCTAATGAGCGAATCAATATTTTCTCATATCATGGGAAAATAACACTAGATTTTATATTTTTTAAAAAAAAAGCAATAAACGTCACTCGACAACACTGTACATATATGTACGGGGTTTAACTTTCTCATGAAAATGCGACGTGGCAAGTTCTCAGAAAAAGCTATTACAACTTCATGGCTATTTACATTCTTTATTACGCCTGTTTCTCTTGCCAAGTAAATCCTCCTATTTGTTTTACGTACTAATTCATTCTTATGAAAATTGCAGTCGCTTTAGTTGGAATGTGAGGTTACTGGCACTAAAATTACAAGATTCATGACATGGAAGCGCATTTGAGATGCTTTGAGATGTTTTTTTTGGGTAATGAAACATTCTGGATATTTGTTTTAATAACCTTACTGAATTAGAATAGCTTCTACACAATTTAATACCATAGCTAAATTAGCTGAATAGTGCTCAATAAGCTGAATGAAATATAATCCAGCAGATTTAAGCTGAATGGAATAAAGTTGCTGAATTGCGCTGAATAATTAGAAATGTAACTTCAAAATTCATAATTAACATGAAATAAAGCTAAAGCAGCATTAAAATGATTTTATTGAGATCAACTTGCACCAGTTGAAGTTGTTCACGTAAAATGGAATGCAGAACTGATGATACTACAAAAGATCTCATCGCAACCAAAAAAGGAAGTAGCTGTATGAGATGTTCAGTCTCTGACAAATAAATACAATGAATAAACATGAACTTCATTCATAAAATAAGCTTTACTGTGTGCAAAAAGACTTCCACGCCTTGTTGATCGGTAGAAAATTATTCCCTCAATGACTATGTTGTTGCCTAAACCAGTTTAGTTAATGGATACGTAGGTATGGACACGTTTATGCGAAATTTAGTCATTCATCTAATTCACATCATAAAAACTCTGCTATTTTATAAATTAATTAAATTAAAATAATATAAAATCATAAATGAATGAAAAGGCAGTCGCGAATGGTTTTGTGAATGGATGAAAAAAATCACAAGTCCATGCGAAATAACCACACGTCATTAACCGAGCAGAAGAAGAGGCAATATATTTTCCAGAGACCTCATTTTAACAGCCCAACAACAGAACAGAGCTTACAGAAATGAATGAAATGTGATATTTATAATGATTTAATTCATGAAACATTAAAAAAGTGCTTCAGTTAAGGCAAACAGACATGCCTTCTGCTATATAATAATTCTTGAATGAATAAGCCAATTCGTAAGTGCGAGATTGATATGGAATGCGCTTTATTTTTTTATTCCGGTGCCTTTAATACTGACTATATACCACTTCAGACATTCCAAAAATGAACCGCACGTGTAAATCAAATTGCTTTAACTAAAATAAATTGTGTGTACATACACATACATGTCTTTATGTGATCTTTGTCAATAGATATACACATGCAAATAAACTTCTTATTTTGACTGTGGATTTGTAAGAAATTTTTGCATCAGATTTTTGGTACAAGTTCCGGGAAATAATTACTTCTTATTCTTCCTTCTTAATTTAATATTAATTTGCAAATGGACACGAGAATCATTAAGATGCTGAAATAAGAATCTCACAAATCACAAATATAAAAAAAATAAGTCGATATGAACACACACAGTGATATGCGAATAAGATATAGGAATGACTACTAAATTATATCCACACGAATAAAACGAATTACTTTTGACCGTTGATTGTGAGACAACTAACAAAGACTGAGAGAAAAATAAATGTTTGTTGAACCCAAAGTCATGTCTCATTTTCTTCAAGGACGCATTATATAAAAATATTGTACGTCTACATCTACAAAGCAGAGTTTATTTTTTATTGGAAAAAAGGACGAAGAAGTAAGGAAGTAAGAAGAACCTTTATGTCTATTGTTCATGTCTGCTCATGTCTTCTAGAACAAAGGAATCTACAAGGTCGACGACAAATAAAGTTGTCTGATACGAAGAATATTCTAGTTTTGAGCCCTGTTTTATTGACTTCCCTTTGTGAAGTCGTCGAGAAATTGTACATTAGCTAATTAACAAGGTGATTGTTTTGAACCAATTTGGAATTAAGTACTTCAAATGACTCTCAAAAAAAGGTAGCAAAAGATTAAAAACATCGATTAAAATAGACGAGATCTGAATTAAGACAAGAATGCTCTACGATTTCATTAAATAACATGACATTCACCCTTCTTAAAACTCAAACAAGTTAATCGTCAGACAGCAAACAATCATTTCAAAACAGATTCCAAGAAGAATTTAAAGAAAAAGCTTTAATTTGTGTACATAATCAATATGACGTCAGAGCAAGTAAATGTAAAGAGTAGAAAAATAAGTGTTTCGATGGAATTTCCAATAGATAGGACCTAATTCGATTATCTTTTGAATGCTTGAATAGTTGTATTTGTTCTTCTCTGTTTCTTTTATTTTTCAATTTAGGTTTTGTGTAGCTATGAAGCATTGTAGTTCTGGTCGATCAACACCAATAATCAACTAGTTCTGACTCTGCGCGCTAAACAGGTCACCAGGACTTTGTTATCATTCATTTTTTCAAATTATTATTATTATTTAATAATTGAAATAAAGTCAGGTACTGAGTAGCGCGCGAAGTTGGAATGAAAATGTTATCAGAACTTCAACCATCGCAATATCGTCGTCAACGGCAGTCGAATTTGTACATACCATACTTTTGAATGTCTAACCAAGGAAGAAGAATTAATTTGTGTGTATTGCAAAAAAAATGGCAACGACTTAAATGTGCATAAAAGTGAAAAAAAAGAAACGAAACGACGCAATACATTTGTTTGTCACATGTCTATTGTACTTCATCAGGTGCTCTGGTTGAATTAATACCCGGCACATGTTGGAGTGCACCACATTTGTTGGCAACAATCATCGAAGTAATGCTTATGTGTCATTATGCAATGAATGCTTATCTACGAGATATATGGTGAAATTTGTAAGTTTGTGGATATACGCATTGGTGATAGATTTTTATCTGTCTGTTGTACAAATAAAATCGTGTTACAAGTTATTGAAATTATCAAGTAAATCATAAAAATGGTCGGTTTTGATAAGCAATTTAATCAAAACGTTTTTTCTCAGAATCATATAATTATCATTTATTTGCTAAACTAAGGATTTAAAAGAAAATAAAGTTCAATGAAATGTATAAACTATATCTTTTATTTGTATTTTTTGCTAAAACAGCAAGTCATCTATGTTCTTGATTATTTTAATTTTCAGAGTTTTTTGACATTTGGATATTGATATTGAATATTGAACTTGACAGTTTTTTGCAGCCAACCCAAAATAAACGACTTTTTAATTTTTAAATCTTTCGACACTCGAAGAAATTTGAATTTTAGCCGTTGTGGCAGAGTTGTTTAAATTGTTACAAAATCATTTTAATTCTAGTTTATCAATGGAGTATCCTTTATTAAATTTAATAAAAATATGAAAAAATCCCACAACTTAAAAAAACTTATTAATTAAAATTATGAAGCGTTTTTAGTCACCATGATTGTAGCTGATGGAACCAATTGTAGTTCCTCCAAACTCTTCTCAAAGTCTTCGTCATTAAAGACTTTTCTCGGAAATGAAGTCATCATGCTGAATGGGAAAACACCTGGAATTGGAGCTTCGCCTTGCTTCAATTGTACAAACAATCTTACTGCTGCTAATTGCTCTTGCTTATTGAAAGTTTCAATTAAAGTGCTGCCATTTGGCAGACGAATTTGTATTCGTGTCTCTTTATAGTCTTTTGGAGGAGTTGCAACGAATTGCTGTACAGGCTGTACTATAGTCGGAGGTGAGATTGGAGTCGGTTCAAGTCCAGCTTTTAATCGTCTAGCTGCTTTGTCGGCTTCAATTTGTGCTCGAACACGATCTCTTGCTGCCTTTTCTTCTTGCTTTTCGCGTTTTCTTTCTTCAACCTAGATTTATATTTTTATTTAGCATAAAGCACAGACATATTTACATAATGTTTTGGGTAAACTTACAATTTTCTTCATTTCATCTTCTTCCATTTTTCTTTTGACCTCTGTCATATCTTTACCACTTTTGATACGTAATTTTTCTCGTTCAAGAGCTTCTTCCTTTTCACGTTTTTCGCGTTCTGCTCGTTTTACCTTAATCTTTTCATCGATAAGTGCTAATTGCTGTTTCTTCTCCTCTTCAGTTAAAGGTTTCTTCTCTTCGGTCGACCTATGACGATCAATAGCACGTAAAATTTAGTATATTGGAACTAGAATGTTTAATATGTCGAACTTACTCGGAAAAATTCATATGACCAGATTTGGTTGCATGAAATTCAACCTCTAATTGTGATCTAAACAGCTTATTACAGTCTTCACATTTGATACTCTTAACTTCTGCATTTGATGGATCTTCTGTACTTGTACTTGGCGATTCCTCTGCTGTTTTTGATGACTCATCAGTTTTTCCTTCTGTGAACGTTTCTGGTTTAATAACTGGAGTCACAACATTTTCTATTGGAAGATCCTCATTATTGTGGACTAAAAGCCATTCCATTGCTTGTTCAACATTGTTATTGCTGATTTTTAATGCATATTCCCTAAAATGTTAGAAAATGACAATTTTTGTGATATTCCTGAATGTTTATCATTTACTTACGCTTTTTCCTTTAGAAATCCCATTTCCATAAGTTGATTAACGCCATCCATTGTTAATTATGTTAAGTATTAACTAGTTAAAATCAATTAAAGTTTCTAATTTTTTTAAACCCCTTTTGAAACTACACGTGAAGAAAAGTTTCCGGTAAATTCAAATTCTAAACGAACGTTTCTTTAAGAACTAAAAGGCTGTAGGAAATGGTTCTACACTGTCCTAAAGACTATCCTAAAGACTAATCCTTTGAATTCATTTTTTTTTATTCCAATTAAGGCACTTACAAAATCACAATATACAGCACCACAACAAAATGATAACAATATTAAATTCTACGATTGTTGAGTATGGGAGTCAGAAAATAAACGAATATGGTGGATGCATTTAAATGCATGTCATGATACCGAAGACTATCCCGCAATTAATAAATTAAGTCCAATGAGAAAATGTAAAATAAATTAAACCTTTGGCTAAGTTAGCAAAATAAAGAACCCAAGATAAAATGAAGATTAAGATTTAAATGAATTTGGGAGATGGTTGTTGAAAATCGTATTTCCCTTCACGCGGTGGAAGCAAGTCGTTTGCGTTTAATTCACTTCTTTGTGCTGCTGACTTATAAATAGGATTGCCCATGAACTTTGGTATATCCGAATTCGATTTATTTGCTTTAGAATTAATTAAGCTTGTCCGTCTAGCTAAATTTGTTGATGTACTATATACAGACGGTGCTTTTTGTTGATATTTAAAGGAACATTTTCCCGGTGCTTCTGGCCATTCAATAACATTCGATGGATACCATGATTTATACGTAAAATACCACGTACAAATTGCTATAAATCCAGCAATAACTTTTTCAACCATTCGGTGATAATATAACATTGTTGTCACAAGCATAATGTCCCATAATAATTGCAAAACCACGATTACAACAAACATCAGTCTGATACTTGGTGTGTATTTCTCATACAAAACTTTTAATGTACTTAACTCATTAGTATCGAGACTTTTCAATGGATTCGAAGACGGCGAACTATCTTGTGGATTTTTCCTTTTATGCTCTTCCATTCTTAAATGTTCTTTAATATATTCCCATCCAACAATTGGTCGACTTTCTTCAATTAATACGAGTGATGAGTAGATTAATATAAAAACATGTCCAGATATGTCAAATCCACCCCAGAAAGCACCTGCTTTAAGACATCCTTGTTTTGTGTCATACATTCTATTATTGCATCGTCCAAAAGAGTTTTCTATTACATTAAACAATTTAGTCCAGAAGAACCTGAAAGAAATAGGGGACATTTGAGATTCAAAAATTAAATCATGTTCAAAATATCCAAGCCACAAACTGAACAACACACGTGCTGTCCAAAGTTAATTAAATCCTACAGCACAGCATAAAGTGGCAGCATTCAACAGGCTGAATATACTTACCAAAAGAATGTAGCTACAGCAATTCTCGGCAGATGATGCTTAAGTACTTTATCTCGATTGCCGCAATTTAAAACTGAGCTTGTAAAAAATAAAAATGGAACTGACGTAATTAGAGTCCAGAACCAGCCAATTTTAACAAAGTAAACATTGAATAGATTGTCGGATCTTGAGAAGTACGTTTTCGGAAAAGGTGCAAAGTCTAAAAATAAAGTAAGTAAAAGGAATAAATGAAAACGTTTAATAAAACTTAATTGGAAAATTTCAATCAGTCTGACTGTATCTCTATCTTTTCCAATACGTGCTATATGATTATGAAATATACTGTTTAAAAATATACACAGAGATGTTATGGAATTTTTTTTTTTGGGTAGAATGAGTGAAAAAAGTGAAAGTGTGTATGCGTACCTCCAATAAGTGAGATTAGAAACAAAGCCATGATATAAAGTCCAACTTTAAGTCTAGTATCAAAGAAGATGATTTTTTTGCATACATGCAAAATCATCATTGTAAGCACTTCCTTTATGGATGAAGGATTTGTCGCAGGTTTTGTTCCTTTAGTTTCTCCACGTAAAGCTTCGTTTTTGATGTTGAAATTATTGAAATTCATTGATGTTGGCTTTGTTTTTATATTATTTGATGCACCTAAGCCTACTGCTGATTTTCTACGGGCTGACATATTAATAAGTCTTTATTATTACCTAGATTTTAAATATTTTTCTGGATCTTTTTGTGCAAAAATACTTTATTCGAATAAGTTTACGTCACAGACGTACGTTTTAATCTATTTTTCATTACTATATGCTTACACTCATTCACTTTGTCACTTTCGTTCTATACTTAAGTAAAGTTCATTACTAAATCAACTGTTTTTAGTGGAATTAATAAATTTTGATCACTTCGGCAATTAAGAATCCTGTTGTTTACGATGTTGTTTACGAAAGTTCGAAAATGAACTTTTCCATAAATTCTCAAAATTTCCTATTTTAAGTAATTTTTGGTTCTATTTAAGCATGTTGTTATAATTATTCAGTGATAATAAAAGATTTGCAACTGTCATAGCTTAAATTATGCTTCAAATAGATGAAAAAATTGCAATTGAAAATTTTTGTCATAAATTGTAAACAAACTTGTTTTTTTACAAAAATTGGAAGATAAAATTTTAATCAATCAAAAAAAACATTTTCAATCATTTTCATTTCCATCAATCTTTACAAATGCATTTAAAATTGTAAAAAAATTATAAATGAAATTTGAGGAATTAATGCCTACCTTCCTCTTGTTTGTTTAAGTTCTTTTTTTTCAAAATGTAAGCACTCTAAGGGCAAAAAAAAAAAATTGGATAGGACTATGGGGCGTTTTCTCCTTTTAAAGGCACAGAAATGAAATTAAATGTATTTTAAAAAAATATCTAGATTCCTTCTCATCCTTTCGTACCATGCTTTTAAAAACAGCCCATGGAAGCAAAAAATCCGATCTATCCGTTTCCTCTTGCAGTTCGTTGTCAAATTCTCCAGCTTTTTCATGATCCCCATTCTTAACATCCTTGTTGCCAATTCAATCCTCGTTGTTGGCAGAGTAAGTAGTCATATAATTCGTGAAAGGAGTAGCAAAACGCTCTGTTGAATGGCTTCACAAATGCATGCACGATATGATTTACAAACATGCTTCTCATGATTTACAAACATGCTTCTCATGTATTACGATGGACAGTCAGTAAGATAAAAACTTTTATCACCTTTATTCAGCTAGAGTCTCGTGCGTGATATTCAGGGCGAGACATTTTACAAAAAAAAAACAAAATAATTTGAAATTTCATAAAAACATTTAGTAAAGCTATAATGAATGCAGCAACATTGCGTCAGCAGTTGGCAAATTTGTGTGGATCGACAGGTGGTCATAAGGAACAAGCTGATAAGTATCGTGCTATACTAGAACAGATTCTGGCACAAAAAGATGATCAAGAATTTCTCAAACAATTTATAGAAGCTAGTAAGTCATTAATAGGTCTTTAATTGTTGTTTTTATACTAATTGAAGCTTTGTATCCTTCCAGTTGTTAATGATCAAGTCAGCTTAGTGATTTCTCGACAAATACTGACTGATATTTGCACTCATTTAACAAAACTTCCAGATGAATCATCTCAAGCAATTTCTCACTTCCTTTTGGATCGTGTTCAGCCTCGAGTAATATCCTTTGAGGAGCAAGTCGCTACAATTCGACAACATTTGGCTGGAATTTATGAACGACAAGAACAGTGGCGTGAAGCTGCAAATGTTTTGGGATTGATTCCTTTAGAAACTGGTCAAAGGTAAGATTGTATCTTTTTTAAACAGATTTCTGAAATTCAAACTTTTTGAACTTGAAGTCTTTAAAGTTTGAACTGTAACGGTTCATCAAATAAATTCAAAATTTAACGGATTTACAATATATTACCAGACAATATTCTGTAGATTACAAGCTAGAGACATACTTAAAGATCGCAAGACTCTATTTAGAAGACGAAGATGCTGGATTAGCAGAAGCATTCATAAATCGTGCATCTATGCTTCAGACTGAAACAAAGAATGAAAATCTTCAAATACTTTATAAAGTCTGTTATGCTCGTGTCCTTGATTATCGACGAAAGTTCATAGAAAGTGCTCAACGATACAATGAACTGTCATATCGTAGCGAAGTCGATGAGGAGGAACGTTTAGTTGCACTTAAAAAAGCTCTAATTTGTACTGTCCTTGCATCTGCGGGTCAACAGCGTTCTCGTATGCTGGCAACGTTATTTAAAGACGAAAGATGCCAACAATTACCAATGTTTAATATTTTAAGTAAAATGTATATGGATAGGATCATAAAACGTACAGAATTGCAGGAATTTGAAGCACTTTTAATGGATCACCAAAAGGCAAAAACAGCCGATGGATCTTCAATTTTAGATCGTGCCGTCTTTGAGCATAATTTATTGTCTGCCAGTAAACTTTATAACAACATAACATTTGATGAACTCGGTGCTTTGCTTGAAATTCCACCAAAAAAAGCTGAGCGCATTGCAAGTCAAATGATAACTGAAGGACGTATGAATGGCTACATCGATCAAATTGATGGCATCGTTCATTTTGAAGGTAGCTTCAATTTACAATTAACAATCATCAATTTTTATGATCTATCATATAAATTTATTTTATTCTACTACCTATCCTCTCTTTATATATGTATAGCTCGTGAGATCTTACCGCAATGGGATAAACAAATTCAAAGTCTCTGCTATCAAGTAAATAACATTATTGAAAAAATTACACAAGCCGAGCCGGAGTGGATTGCGAAGAAGATGGATGAAGAGATGGTACATTAAATTTAATTTCAGGCTGAAAAAGAACGTGTGTAAAATTATGATACAAGTATAATAAAAGGCACTTTTATGTTGAAATTCAATGATTTCGTTTTTTATTGCATGCTATAATATCCTTGTCAAAATCAATTGTGCATTTTGTGCTGTAAAAAACTCAATTACAATAAAAGTTTGCCATCATTTTGGATCGTTTTAAGGAAAATTAATTGACTCTGGACATTAATTAAATTTAGGTACCGACGGAAAGTTTTTGAACATATCAGTGGAGTTCCGAAAGTTCTTAAAGTCGTTGACTATAGCAGTTGGTGTCTCGAAATTTGGCATTTGTCTTCTTTCTCTCTTTGGTACTTTTGGCATCTCCATCATTTTTGTTGGATCTAAATCTGGCATAGCCTTCAAGTTCTTGAAGTTCATTCCCATTAATTCACTGATCTTCGTCATGTCTATGTTGGGCTATTGATTATTTAAAAGTTTATTTTATGATTTTGAAGGAAATCTTTAGTGCTGTGAACATATAACGAATTTTTTGAATTCAAATTTTTAACCTTAATTTTCAAATTTTGAACTTCAACGGTTTAGTAATTAATATCAAATATTAACGGACCAACACGTGTGTAGCATTGCATGAAAAATTAATTTAATTCAAACCTTTACAGCATCTCGTTTAACGATCCTCGAAAGAGATGATGATCTCTTTATTGTTTTCTGCATAAAATAAAATTATAGTAAACTCAGAAACATCAAAAAGTTATCTCACAAAAAAATCTTGATATTTTTGATTACGTTTTCCAAATTTTCAGTGAACATGGATCTTCAATTTAAAGCTACTAACGATAGCGACTGTGATTCATCAAACGACGAGAATGAATATCACATGGAGATTGACTTTACATCATTAAGATTCAATGATGAAGCAATTGAGAACTTCCAAATGATATTCCTTTACGGTGATATAATGAATAAATTTAATGTGCAGTCAGACTTTGAGTATGAGTATGAGGATGATGATGATGAGGATGGCAACCGCAAAGTTAATGAATTTAAAGTAGAAAAAATATCTTATGTCATACACTCAACACCGTCAAGATTAGCTGAGAAACTTTTGGATGTGCCAATAATTTTCATGTTCTTGACCGACGAACAAGTAATGATAGGTGAGTCCCAAAAAAAAAATTATAAGCTTCAATCCACACAAATAATAATGATTCTTCTTGATATTTAAGGAAACCCAATAACATTGGAAGTAAATGAGTGCTTTGCTAATTCTATCCGATGTAATGACTTTAAAGAAGAATCACTAAGAAAGACTTATGACTTAACTGACGACTCAAAATGCCTCGGAAAAGTTTCATTAAATTTCTCTATCATCAAAGACGTAGGAAACAGTAATCGTTTTCGAAAATTTTATACAGCCTCTACCGCCGAAAGGCTTAAATTAGAAGCGATTTAAAACACATAAAAAGAATTTAATCTTCTTTATAGACACACAAAAAAGATGAGACATTCCTTAAACTATTATTTTATTATCATTATTATTCACTGATTCAATTCACTGGGGGGTCCTCTGCTCAAATAATTATTTTCACTTTAAAATCTTATCAAATTCAAGTCAGTTCTTATCAAATTTTAGTCCAAATTTACTGTTTCTAATTAAAATAGAGCTATTCAAACCAAGGACCCCCCGAATATTTGATTAAATCGACAAAATGCACCACGTGCTTAACAATTAATTGATTTTTTTTTTTTGAGTCCACATCTTATGTGATCATTAAATGACTTATTCATACAACAAGCGTTTCTTAGAATCTTCTTTACTGTTCATTTTATCTAGTTGTAAATCCGAGAGAATTTGGTGAGTCTTTAATAATTCCCTCTGAATACTTTTCTTCAATTGACTTGCCAATCGTTGGCAACGGTGCATTAATGGCAGTGTCCTATGAATAAGTGGGTTAATTATTAGAATGATTTTGTTATAATTGCTTTTTTTTAGATGATCTTGTGCTCTAATCTTACGCTTTTAATGTTTCGTGCGGTAATTTCATTCTCATGTTCACCAAAAGCTTCCGCCAAAAGCGGGTCAATTTCAGATAATGGCTGATTGCCATAGCGTATAAACACCGGTATAAAGCCGGCTCTTGGTTTAAGCACCTGATATGCTGGTTTCGATTCTGTAAATGTACAAATAGAGAGAGAAAACATAGAAAAAAGTAATCAAAGATGATCATCATTAGAAAAAATGTGTGTCAGATAGAATAGTTTATCAAATAAAAAAAAGTATCGAGATGATTTTTTTTTTGCAGGCGTGACGCGTTCTTTGTAACATGTGAATGGAGCGCACTTTTGCCTCTTAAGTCTTAAGTTTTTTTGTGAATTTCTGTTATTTTAAAGAGAATGCTTCATTATTGAAAATTCAATAGTCATTCGGAATTCAAATGTGTGTCTCAAAATTAAGATTAATAAATTGAAAGTCTTTTAGAAAGGAACTTCATTTGAGTATAATTTAGAAGCCAAAGGGGTTCGTCATTATTATCCTAAAACATCATTCTTTTATGACGTTTGAAAAAAGAATTCTCAATCCTTTCTGGAAGTAATAAGTGAACTATAATGAGATAATTCATAATTGATGTCAAACTTTTAGAAAGGTTTTGATGATTTTTGACTCCCAAGTATCAGCTATTAAAACTCACCAACTCATGACTTAATGACCCACATAGCCGAAGTGACTACAAATGCTCATCAGATTAGCAACATTGTGTTAACAACAGAGTTTAACACGTGATTAAAATTAAGTAACAATAAGAAATTTTGAGAAGACGTAATAGAAAAAACCACATAGGTACGAGAGACTAATAGCTCTTAATGATAATAATTGAAAAAAAAAAGAAAATACTTTGAGAGCATTTAAGAATTATTTCCAATTCGAATTAATTATCCATAAGATATTTATGTGCTTTTAATCGTGAGATAACAGGTAAGAAAATTCCGTTAAATACTTTACGAGAATTTTTCAGCATGTCTAACGTTTCCGTCTTATTGAAATAATAAAAATCACATTTATTTACTTTTGAAACGGATATGAAACAAGAATTCTCTGCATCATTATTGACATATTCTAATGACTGTTTACCATTAACATTACTCGCAATTTAGATGCACGAATGAGTGAGAGTAAGAAATTCACATATATTCTGTGTATAGTAAAAATTAGCGTTGGAGATAGCAGTATAGACTCATTTATGTTCTTTAGACGATGATTTGATCATGTATGGAGTCGTTCACTTATGATGTCTATGATGTGTCAACTCGGAGTTAGATTCAAGAACTGATTAAATGATCAACAGATCTCAATTTTTGTAAATAATTTTGTCAATATCACAAGGATGTACAAAATAATCAGTATAGATCAGTATGGTGGGAGATGTAGATCTCCCTATATCTGCCATATGTATTCTAATGTAAAACAAGTCGGTTTCGATAGGATTCGAACCCATGACCTCAAAAAAAAAAGCGATTTCTCGGTCAGAGATCCCTGCCACTCGTCCAAAGAGGTACTTATCTCACTTCGATTATCCTATGCTCAGGCCTATATACTATAGATATGCTCTTGGAGCCATATCCACAGGAGATCTGCTCTATAATTCATTTTCTTCCAACGACTGCAAACAAAGTTCGTTAGGGAATTAATAAAAATATATTACTTTAGTTATTTTTTGAAGCAAAATTATTCCTTTTATGTACCAATCGACTTTAAAATTGTAATTTTACTCTAAATTCAACAAAAACTTTTAATAATTTATCATTTCTATCTTGACAATGTTCAAAATCGACTTCAATTTGTGCAATTACTGTATTGATGAATTTCTGATTAAAGGAAGGATCAGAACATAAGGTAAAACAATTAAGCTGTCTATAAATAAATTCAAGAATACACAAAAAATATTTTTTTTCACAGCAATATTCAATATTATGCAATTTAAGAAATTCAATGCACTTATCTTTATGCACAGAGCTTTTTGGAAGTTCAAACAAAGGTATTTATTGGTTTTCTTTCCTTTACAACCAGTAATTACACAATTTCTGACCATTTTAAAAAAATGAAATTTTATAAATTCAATAAAGACTAAGAAATGTAAACAAATATTTTCAACGGAAATTTTAAATTCAAATCAAGTTCGAAAATGAAGTACCTATTTCCGAAAATGAGTTCTTGTTTGCAGTCGTTGAATTTTCTTATTTTATACTTGGATATCAGCCTGATTCTACCTCTACAACTAAGTTACTAGTACATGTACAGGATTGGTGAAAATCCAAAATAAATTACGAGTAAGGTTTTATCGAGCTTTGTAACTCACTTAATTCAAGCGGGTAAGATGTGGAGGAATAGGGAAAATATGAAGAAGAACCTCATTTGTGAACAATCCTCTATGTTTATGCACATGTGACGATCATAAGAAAAATTACTCAAGTCTTTTGTTTATATCATCCGTTATCTCTTACCATTTCTCTTTCTTTTTCATTCTTATTGTCAATGATACGCCTGGTCGCGAGCAGCATAACTTTACTTTCTATAAATTTATTATATTACATATAGCATGAGAAATGATTGCTGTTGAATTATAAAAATCAACAAAAGATTTCATCTTCAATCGTTACTAATAATTTTTAATTCAATGTTATTTGTAATTCCAAATGCCACTATATACTTATAAATTGAGCATTTCTCATTCTTTTCTTCTGCAGTTTCTCACACAGCCAGCAGTTACAGTGAGGAATGATTACAATAATTGCAATCTATTTTAAAAGGATGCTTTCGATTTAATGTGAATATATGTGAAGGAATGAAGAATCAAAAGCGAATTGGATATTTATTTATATGCTGATTACCTCAGGAATTCCATTCTTTTTCATTATAAGCTTTTTGCTTCTTATTATTTCTCTCTCATTTCAATCGATATTCTTCTTCCACAATTGTCATTTTTATGATGTCATGAACTTCTGGATATCTATTGTAACTTTTTGTAAGGTGGGTTCAATAATATTGAGGAACTTTCGAATGCTTGTTTAGCATATTATCTTGAAATTTAAATTTATTGTGTCTTGCATGATGATTTGAGATTTTAAAAACTTTACTGTTAGAACATCTTCAAAGTCATTCGAAAGGTTAATATAATTTATTGATACATGACATCTAACTTTAAAAATGAGTCAGGATTGCCTCAAAATATTTACAGAGAATTTTGATGACTTAATATCTTAAATTTTTTGAAACTCCTAATATGTAACTTAATATACCAAGAACTACACGGTCAACAAAGTATATTTTAGAAATGCAGCCGTAATACGAAAATTTGTCTTTAATTTTCCGCTAATTTGTTTCCATGACTAATGACTCCTCATGTGCCGACCTCATACCATCAATTTTTCAAAACAACCATCAACTTCCCTTTCCAAATTCACCGTTTATTAATTCTTCACGTTTTAAAATGCGTTTTGTTCATCCTTTCGCCAGCAGTTTTCAATTTCATCTCGAAAGACTAATTGAACTGAAAAACGGAGGTACGACAAAAGTGAACGAAGCAAAGTATGATAAATTAAAACATCAAATTACATCAATCTCATTTAGCATGTGAAGTAAAAAACAGCTTACAAAAGTTCTGCGATTTAATTATATTTTGTTTCTTCTTACAATGTTCTTATGAATCACCGCACCGTAATAAGTCAATGATATTTTTTTCAGTGTTCAATCGTGATGAAATCTTACAACATTAAAGGTTGTTTGCATTCTGCTTTTTCTTATTAATTCTTTCGAAATTAAATACACGTATGCACTATGGGGCAAAATGAAAAAAAAAGGGACTTTCACTTTGAAAAATGGACTTTTCCGATTTACACTTTTTGGGTGATTTTTTCTTGTAGAGGACATAAAAGTAGATAGAAATGCCAAATTTCAGGTCATTTGGTGCTGATTTCGCGATTCTAGAGCTGTTTGAAGTTGAAAACTAGTGAAAATTCTGGTTTTTTCATACCATGTTTGAACCGGGAAATATCTTAACTGGTTTAAGATATTGCAAAACGGTTTTCAGTTCCTATTAGTAGTATATAAGAGCTTTATTTTGACATATAACAAAGTTTAGGTTCTGAATGTTTTCGTGCCATTATGGTAGAACATATGTGAAAATTTCAGGAAAATTATCTTCAAACAAGCCGCAACTATCATAAATGAAGAGTTTCCAGGCAAGTAAAAACGCAGTTTTGTAGCCCCATATATCTAGTTTTCAAAACTGTATAAACTTTGAAAAAGTAAGCTAACGTAATTGAGTTATGTTGATTTTAGTAGGTCGTTGAGTATTTGGCCAAAAACTAATAATTCTTTTAAAAATACGAAAACATAGTTTTAAAAATAGTTTTTTGGTGTTTTCTTATGAAAAATAACAATTTAAATGATTTTGTGAAGAAAATTTTTCAAAAACTTCAAAATCTTTCGAGATATAGGGGGTATGTGCTCTCCATCGATTTGGCCATTTGTCACCCTACTTAAACCACTATAACTTTTTTTTGAAAAAATATTTTTTAATTCTGTTTTCGGATTATTGTAGCCTAATGTAATACCTATCCAACGATATATAATACTTGCTAGTTAACTTAGTCCTGGTTATTTATAGGGCTGTTGATTGTGACATACGCAGTTTTTGAAAAATTCCCAAAAATTGCATTTTCAAAAATACCACTTTTAAGCAATCTCGAGTATTTTTTTAGAACTTTTTTATGTTTATTTATGACATTTATGAGATTATAAAGCCAAAAAATTAAATTTAGAAACTTTTTACTTCCCTAGTTAACAACTTTGTAAAGTACCCTTGGTAGTCACTATCAGGTGTGAAAATCTCAGTTTTGAAACTATTTTATATATATACTCGTGAAATTCTCTCTACACATCATATCAGTTTTGAACTTCATTGAACAAGTCACTTTCAAAAATGAACCAAAATTCAACACTTACGAAGAAAACACTCTGTGAAATTCTTCGCGACAAAACGTTAAATCTTGCAACACAGCACACGTACTGTTTGGCAGTAATAGAAGAAATTCATGGGAGAGAATTAGCGGAATCACAGAAACCAAGTTTAATTAATAAATTAAACAAGCTGAAGTCAAAGTCAAAAATGTT